TTTTTTTTTTTTTTTTTTTTTTTTTTTTTTTTTTTGGAGTCAGGGAAGGTTTACTTTCTTGTACCCTTTAAAAAAGCAAACTTGCTACACCAATGCAACAATTTCTGTCGTGAGACAGCTGCAGGGAGCTTAATCTGTTAGTCAGATTTAGCTTTAAAGAAAAGATTTGTTTGTGCAAATGAGCTGGCTAATCACTGGACTTTTGCAAAAATTTCAGTCAGATGTCTTGGTTTGATAGCTTACATTGTCTGATCAAATTTTTTTAATCATATACACAATTATGAGAGTGCAAAACGTGCTTCTTGGTTTCTTTCGGCCATATTAGCTAAGCGCATGCGAATGATTCTACCACAATCCTGCCGAGTGTTTTCTATGTTTTTTCGGCTGAGTTTAGGTTTGTACAATCGGTTTAATTTTGTGCCGGTGTTTGAACCGTATGTTTCTGTTACTGACATTCACGCGACGGCGTAACCTGGTTAGCTGCCATCTTTTGCTGTGTTTCCTTTGGTGTCTTCTCTACTGGATTTTGTGCTTATTTCCGCTGCTTCTTCCGTATTTTAGCTTGGGAGTTGTCTTATTAATGCTTCCTTATTTTAATGTCTTTTTGGAATATTTCTGCCTAATCTTTTCCTCAGGCAGGCGTTCTCGCAGGAACCTCGTGTATCCTGAGTGCTTGGGTTCTACTTTGTCGCAGCTGCTCTGAATGTGCTTCAATGCATCTCTTAAAACTTCTCAATTGACCTCCTTTTTGAGCATTAAATTCAAGTTCTCTAGATCATTTTTTGTTTTTTTTGGAGAACTTTGTAAGAACTGCTTTTATTGTTTGCGACGTTCTCGCATCGTGGGCGCCAATTCAAATACTATGGCAAAAAATTGTTTGCAGTGAGAACTCGGTAACTCAACTTCCGAGTAAAGCTACTGCTTAGGATCTCTTTAGTGCAATATTCAAATATGCTGTTAACCTTTTGTATTTTATCTAACTTTTGTTAAGAGCAATTACTTAAATGAAGAAGACGAGATAGAAAAATACTGAAAAGACATTAAAATAAGGAATAGCGAAAACAAGGGGACTCTCAGCGAAATACGAAGGAAGCAGAGGAAACGTGCAAAAAAAATCAAGGGCGAAGCCTCCAAAATAGAATGCGACGTAGGATGGAAACTAACCTGGCTTTACTGTGGCGTCACAAATCCGAACTCAACCGAAGGAACATAGAAGATTATTGACAGAAGCATGATAAAAACACTAGCTTGCACTCAGTCAATTTGGCCGAAAGAGGCTGAGAAGCGTACTTTGCACTCTTTTTAGGCAGGTCAACTGACGTCACTTGTGTGTATGATAAAAAATTTGATCAGACGGTGTTTGCGATTGAACCAGCGCATCTGGCGCGAATTGTCGCGAAAGCCCAATGGTTAGACAATTTTTTTCGTAATCAAACTTTCTTTATAGCTAAATCTGACTGACAGATTAAGCTTTCTACAGCAGTTCCCACGAAAATGATCAGTGCACTAGTGCAACAAAGTTTCATCATTATTAGAAGTTTTTAAAATTCTGCTGGATTTTTTACTCGCAGGAAATGTGAGTTAAGTTTCAATTTACAGTCATATGGCGTAAAATGCTCATAAGAGTTCCAAATGACTGATACTTTGAGACTTAAGAATCGAACCTTTTTTTATTAAATAAAAGATTTTTCTTACTGTGGTTCCTGATTTTCTAAAGTCATGAAAACTGAGCTTTCGCTAAAAGGCAAAAATATAAGCTGCAGTATCGACTAATCTAGAGTCCTGAGTTTTGCCATTGGCAGGAAGAAATTTTAAGAATTGCTGGGGAGAGCAAGATATTGCAACTTTCGAAAATAAGGTTTTTGAAGCATTTTGGTAAGATTACGCTTACAGGTACAAAATTACGACAGTCAAGTCGACGAAGGCGTATTGCAGAGAGAGTCTCTGAGAAGGTCTCTTCTACCTGGAATCGGATGGGCCATAAGCGTGCTCCCTCTCTCCCTTCCGTGGAGTCTAAAAGTATTGTTTTTTTAGTGCTGTATGCGACAAATCTTGCACATTTTGATTGATTTTTTCTTTAGTTTATTGGTACCAAGAATATTTCAGTGAAGGAAGCAGGTTCTGATGAGTCTAATGTGGAGCGACATGCTGTGTTAGTTGAGGTATTAAAACAAGTTTAATTGAAACGAATGGGTTTGGAAATGCAGAATTTCTGTACCGACTTTTTGCATTTTATAATTAGATTTTAGGACTATGTCACAAGATACAGTTTTCTTATTTGTATGCCATTTTACGTTTTTTGAATTTGATAAGAGGCTCGGTGAAAAACAGTCTTGTCATCAGGAAATAATGTTTTTAGAGTGTGATACCAGATGTTTTTGCACAGCTAGAATTGTCGGGTGACCTCTGCGAAATGAAATATCAACCAGGGAATGCTTATAATGAAGATATGATAAATGCCGCCAAGAACACAGGGAAAAATATTTTCGCAGATTTGGATCCCGATGCGCGGAAAAATAAAATTAACGAACATGTTAGTTTTTTTATTCATTACTGTAGTCTTCCATCTGCTTTTAGCGTTTTTTCAAAATATAAGTGAAGGAAATAGTCTCGAACTCCTTTTTGAAAATATGCAAGATTGTGTCTTGCTTGGCTTGATTCGGTCGTTTTAGATCGGGAAAATAAAGACCATAATTGATACGACAACTTCGGAACGGTTGAAATTGTTGAAGGAGTCTAATGGATTGGCAAGCGAGGGGAATCCTGAGTTCACTGCTTTGGACGAGCGACTCCAGGCACTCGCCGTTTTAATGCTTCATTATTGCTCTGCTTTGCAGGTTTCTGGAGTACTATATTATAGCATTTTTGTCTCTCTTTAATCATATTCTCAACTATTTCATTTGGCTTATTGCCAAAAGGATCACCGGTTTGGTGGAACGGGCAAATAATGATAGAAATATGACTTTAGAAACGGAAGGTAAATTTCAACAAGCGCGATATCATAGGTAAATGACAGTGCGGTACAGT